ATGCCCCGGAGAGAAGAGGGGAAAGGGAAAAAAATTCAGTGGAAGCATGTGTGTGAATGAGAAGGACACAGTTGGAAAAGTGAAAGTTCAAGGAGTAGAGATAGCAAAGGTAGATGAGTTTAAGTAACAGGAATGTAAAGGAACTGTGAATGCACAAGAGAGGTGAAGAAGAGAGTGCAGGCAGGGTGGAATGGGTGTAGGCAAGTCTCCGACTGATTTGTGAAAGAATGGTAACAGCAAAAGTGAAAGGGGAATAAGACCTGCTATGATGCATGGTTCGGAGACAGGCACTAATATAAAGAGGATTTGAAGCTGTGTGGTATGAGGAAAAGAGGAAGAACACATAGAAGGGTGACTGTGGCTCAGGTGGTAGAGCAGGTCAGCTACTAATTGGAAGGTTGGTGGTTCGATCCCTGGCTTCCCCAGTCTGCCTATTCCTGGCAAGATACTAACCCCAAGTTGCCCTCCGATGTGTTCATCGGAGTATGAATGTGTGTGAAGGTAGTTTAGTTTGCACTTGTGTTTGGAAGTGCAGGGAGAGTAGAAAAGTGCTGTATTAGAATCAGTCCATTAACCAGAAGGTCCATGAATGTAGTGAAGGAGGACATGCAGAGGGCCTTTGTAACAGAGGAGAATGCTAGAAATGAGGTGAGATAGAGGCTAATGTATCTAAACAGAGCAGCAGTAAGGAGTTGTTGTGCATCTTTTCATGAATCAGTGTGGGGAAAAAATGTTGCCTTTTTATTAAATTGTCTTCCAGGTCTAGTGACGCGAGTGAGCGGATGTACTTACAATAAACAGTCAGGTTAAACTGCTTCCATAAGATGGTGTCGCTGATGGCCTGCCACTTGTAGATGCCTGAGTCCTGGACGCTGAGCTGTGTGATGGTCAAAGCTCCAGTCTGACTGTTCAGCTGCAGTCTGTCTTTAAAACGCGCATCATAGTCACTCTTCACCACTCTCTTCTTTATGGTGGCAAGTCGCATGTTTGGATTTTCGGCTCCAAAAGTCCATATTATCTTGGCATTACTTGGACTTTCTCCTGTCTGTAGGGTGACATCTGCTCTCTCTTTTGCTTTCACAGCAGTCTTTCCTTCATTTCCACCAAAACAACACAGTATTCCTGAGAGAGAGAAGATGTGGCTCCATGAGAATTCCTTGTGAAAATGCTAAAATTGCTTTTGCGTAAATGTCTTGAAGCATGCTTAATCATCCAGGTAAGCAAATCTGTTCATCCGGTTGTAACGTTTTCAGCTGAGAAATGTTTCTCCCACTGAAAATGCTATGTAAATGTTTTCTTATAAGTTTCCAATATGACAGACAGAATTTCACCTCTCACTAAGAGCTACTTTCTTTGTTCAATGATGCTGAAGAGGTCATACAGGTAAATCACCTTTCCTGTTGTTTTTACCACAGTAAAAAATCATCACTGATTAATAATAACAATAAATAAGTCAAAACACCATTAAATTTGTTTTAAAATGGGATGCAAGATTGTTTGTAATAACACTGACTGACTCTGGACTAAGAAGCAATTACTGCAGCTTCAGGCTTCAAAATCTCTCCAGCGTCATTCGACAACTGTGCACAAAGCTTGACCTTCAGTGGGTACTGCACTATTTTGAATTTGCAAGTAACTTACAGTTTTTCTCGATTGCTAAAACACTAAACCCTATTTCTTGAACCAAAGTCTCAGTTGCCTGAACCCACTTATTGAATCAGTCACTCTTTTGGCGAAACCATAAGCACTTTTCATCTGTTTAGACACATCTTGTCAACACATTGTCATTGTGATGCACCTGTGTTGCATAATGGTGAGCACAGGTGGAAAAAGTCAAACACTGTAGCTCAGGTGGCAGAGCAGGGCAGACACTAACCAGAAGGTTGGTGGTTCGATCCCAGTCTGCATGCCAAATATCCCTAGGCATGATGCTAACACCATGTGGCTCTCCTTTGCCACATGGTGTTAGCATCTTGCCTAGGGATGCTAACTCCGATGCATCCATCGGAGTGTGAATGGTAGACTACTTAGCTCAGAAAAAAGTGCTTGTGTGTTTGGGTGAATGAATTAGTAGTATAAAGCGCTTTGAGTGCTCAGACAGAGTAGAAAAGCGCTATATAAGAACCAGTCCATTTACCAGTTGAACACAACAACTCAAAATTTATCACACTTGTGGCTAATGATGTGATATCAGATTACAGTTTTTTCTGATTGCTTAAGCACATTTTTTGTAACTATTGGCTAATTTTGCAAAACTCTTCACACAAATAAGAAAACCTGTCACCCAATAATCAAAACATTGTAGTTCTCTTGCAAAAGCAAACACAGCTAGA